TAAAACCAATTTATAAATGTAAGATTTTTTTATGTAAGCCTCATGGTAACCACAAAGCTAAAATATAGAGTAGATGACAAGATATAAAGAGGGAGGAATTTAAGCATACTGTAATAGAAAATCATTAAATTGCAAAGGAAGGAGCAAAAGAACAGGAAAGAAAGAAAAGTATAACTAAACAGCCAGGAAACAATTAAGAAAATGGCAATATGTCCATACCTCTCAGTAATCACTTTAAATGTAAATGGACTAAATTATCCAAACAAAACAGTTTTCTTTTAGATTAATTTTTTTTACTACTTTTGTCTTTGGATTAATGGCTCAATGGATTTAAAAAATAATAATACCTACCTAGAAACTCACTTCAGATACAAGAACATACACAGACTGAAAATGACAGGATGCAAAAAGATATTCCATGCCAATGGAAAGCAAAAGAAAGCTGTCTTAGCTACATTTATATCAGACAAAATATACTTAAAGGGAAAAGACGTATTGAGACAAAAACTCATTGTATAATAATAGAGGGGTTAATCCAATAGAAGGATATAACATTTGTAAATGTGTGCCAAACATAGGAACATCTAAATATATAAAGCAAATATTAACAGATCTAAGAAAAAAGTAACAATATGTAATAGCCATAAACTTCAGTACCCCACTTGCATCAATGTATAGATCATCCAGACAGAAAATCAATAAGGAAACATTGGACTTAACATTGACACTTTAAACCAGATGGACTTAATAGATATGTACAGAACATTCCATCCCAAATCAGCAGAATACACCTTATTCTCAAACACACAAAGAATATTCTCCAGGATAGATTATATGTTAGGCCACAATAAAATCCTTAATAAATTCAGGAGGATTGAAATTATATCAAGCACCTTTTCTGACCACAATAGTATGAAGCTAGAAATCAATTATAAGGAGAAAATGGCAAAATCCACAAATGTTTAGAGATTCAACAACATACTACTGAGCATCCAGTGAGTCAAAGAAAAAATTAAAATTGAAATCAAACACCTTGAGGAAAAAAATAAAAATAGTAAAACTTGTGAGATGCAGCAAAGTTCTTACTGATAAATGCCTACATTAAGAACTTTACATGTCAACTAGAAGTTTACAGCTTGAGGAACTAACAAAAAACAACACACTAAGGCCATAGTTAGTACAAGAAATAACAAAGACCAGAATGGAAATAAAAGGAAATGTTAACTAAAAAGACAATAGAAAATATCAATGAAACTAAGAGCTGGTTCTTTCAAAAGATAAAGTGCCAAATCATTATATAGACTTACCAAGACAAAAAGAGGGTTCAATTAAATAAAATTAAAAATGAAGATGTTACAACTGATAACCACAGAAATACAAAGGATGATGTGAGACTGCTATGTACAGTTGTGTACCAAAAATTGGACAACCTGAAAGACAAGGATAATTCCTTGAAAAAATACAACCTATCAAGAGCAAATCATAAAGAAATAGAAAATCTGAACTGATTACTAGTAAGGAGAGTCAATTGGTACTCTAAAACCCCCCAACAAAAAAATTTCAGGACCAAATGATTGCACTGGTGAATTGTACCAATCATTTAAAGAAGAATCAGTATGAATCCTCAAACTCTTCCAAAAAGCAGGAGAGTACACTTCCAAACTCATTTTACAAGGACAGTGTTATACTAATACCAAAACCAGACAAAGACATTACAAGAAACAAAAATTATAGGCCAGTATGCCTGATGAAAGATACAAAAGCCCTCAACAAAATATTAGCAAACTGAACAGAATTTATTAGCTCATATACCATGATAAAGTGGGATTTATCTTAGGGACCCAACAATGGTTCAGCATCCAAATTAATCAGTATAATTAGATCACATTAACAAAATGAAGGCTAACAATCGTATCTCAATAGATTTCAGAAAAGGTATGTGGCAGAATTCAACATCCATTCATTATAAAAACTCTCAACAAAGTGGGTATGAAGGGAACATACCTCAACATAATATAGCTCATATATGACAAGACCACAGCTGATATCATACCCAAGGATGGAAAACTGAAGTTTTTACTCTAAGATCAGAATCAAGACAAGGATGCCCATTTTCACCACTTTTATTAAAAGAACTGGAAGTCCTAGCCAGTGCAATTAGGCAAGGAAAAGAAATAAAATTCCCCCAAATCAGAAAGGAAGTAAAACTACTTATATTTACAGATGCCATGATATATTAATAGCAAATCCTAAAGATTACACCAAAAAAAATTAGAACTAAAAAAATCAGTAAAATGGCAGGATACCAAGTGAATATATAAAATACATTTTATGTATATTAATAATGAACTAGCAATAGCAATGAGAGAAACTAATAAAAACAGTCCAATTTACAATTGGATCAAAAATAATAAAATACCTAGGAAGTAATTCAACCAAGGAAGTAAAAGATCTATACAATGAAAATTATAAGACATTAATGAAAGAAATTACAGAAGACACAAATAAATGGAAAGATGTTTAATGCTCCTGAATTCAAAGGCTAATGTTAAAATGTCCGTATTGCCCAAAGTAATATACATATTCAGGGCAATCTCTATCAAAATCCTAGTGGCATTTGTCACAGAAATAGAACAAACAATTTTTTCAAAGTTACAGAAGACCCCAAGTAACCAAAGTATCTTGAGAAAAAACAACAAATTTGGAAGTATCACACATCCTCATTTCAAACTATATAACAAAACTATAGTAATCAAAACAGTATGGTATTGCCCAAAAAACAGACACAGATCAATGGAACAAAATAGGACCACTATCTTAAACCTTACACAAAACTCAACTCAATATGGATTAAAAACTTGAATGTAAAACCTGAAAACCTTGAAACTAGAAGAAAATATAGAGGGAAGACATCTTTCTTTGCCATGTTTTTCTGGATTGACTCCAAAAGCAAAGCAACAAAAGTAAAAACAAGTGGCACTATGTCAAACTAAAATGCTTTTGCACAATAAAGGAAATCAACAAAATGAACAGGCAACCTATAGAATGTGAGAAAATATTCACAGAACATACATCTGATATATCTTAATGTCCAAAATATATCAAAAACTAATATAGCTCAATAGAAAAAAAATCTGAGTTAAAAATGGGCAGAGGATCTGAATAGACATTTTTCAAAAAAAAAAAAAAAAGATATCCAAATGACCAACAGGTACATTAGAAGTTGCTCAGTATTGCTAATCATGAGGAAAATACAAATCAAAACCACAAAGAGATATCACTTCACACGGATCAGAATGGCCATTATCAAAAAGACAGGAAATAATAAGAATAGGGAAGAGCCCTTGTGCACTGTTGGTGGGAAGATAATTGGCTCAACCACCATGGAAAACAGTATGAATGTTCCTTAAAAAATACAACATAAAACTATCGTATGATCCAGCAATTCCACTTCTGGGTATTTTTCCAAAGGAACAAAATCACTATCTCAAAAAGGTACCTGCACCCCCATGTTAATTGCAGCATTACTTACAATAGCCAAGATGTGGAAATGACCTGTGTCCACTGATGGATAAATAGATAAAGAAACTGTGGTATGTATATACAGTGGAATATTATCCTACCACTGTGATGACTTCAGTGAACCTTGAATGCATTATAGTAAATGATATCAGTTAGAGAAAGACAAACATTGTATTATCTCACTTATGTGTGGAATTCAGAAATAACCAAACTCATAGATATATAGATCAGATTGATGGTTGCCAGAAGCAGGGATTGGAGAGTAGGTGAAATGGGTGAAGGTGGTCAAAAGGTAAAAAATTCCACTTATAAATAAATCATGGGGGTGTAATGTAGAGCATGGTAACTATAGTTAATAATACTGTATTTTATATTTTAAAGTTTCTAAGATTATATGAGTTTTCATAACTAGAAAAAAATTGTAGCTATGTGTATGATTGATGTTAGCTTATTGTAATTATTTCACAATATATACATGTAATAAATCATGTTGTACACTTAAAACTACTGCAATATTATTTAGTATATCTCAATTAGAAAGAAAACAATATAGAAAGTTTAAATAAATAGCTATCAACTCTTCTCTTTGTGAATAGGATAAGAAAAAAATATATAAGATAATTTTAAGTTATTTTAGAGAGTAAAGAATAAATTCAGTCATAGGAAGAAGATTCTTGTCTGCTTTTCCCAAGCTTAGTTATAAAATTTTATAAATAGACTAATCCCGTTGTTTTCAAATGATGAAAATGAGATATGAATAGGTCAAAGTAATATAGCCAGTAATTGGTTGAGCATGATTTCAACTGTTAATATGAATTCATGTCTTCAACTCTTGATTCCCATCTTCCAGTGCCTTTCCTTAGTTTGTGTTTCTTTTCCAACCACTTGGTTTAAAAGTAACCTGGAGATATACGGTGATCTCTGAAAGACCTTTCTACTTTAAATTGCCTGTGTTTATCAATCTGTTAACAACTAAGCTCTCCAAACTCTCCCCACTTCCACACATTTGTGAGACTTTATTTTACTTTAAAACATAGAGACTTCCTGAGAAGAGCTCACATGTTAAGTCTCACTCAACTCTTTTGTTAAGTGTCTGATGTGTTAGACTTTTGAGCATAAATATTATGCTGGGCTTTTTTTAATACACTATCTCATTGAATTCTTAGAACTGTATGAGATAAAAAGCTGAGTTAGAGGAAGGCAATAATTTAGCTATTATTTCTTTAAAGTGCCTAATCCATTCTGATTTCTGAAAAATTCACTTAGTACATTTTTCTAATCCACCACACTAACCATTTTGTAAAAACCTCAGCCACAGGGCCCAATTTGTATAGCCACTGTTGAATCTCCAGCTATAACAATTTTTGTTTCCAAAACACTTGTTCACATGTAAAGTACAGTGATTAGTCATTCTTGAATGTATTTAAACCAACCATTCATTGCAATTTAGTATTCATCCTGTTTTTCTTTCTTTTCAGACCAGTATGTGGAATCAGAGGAAAAACTCTCATAATCAACCTGCCAGGTAGCAAGAAAGGATCTCAGGTGAGAAACCTTGAGATTTATATGGTTTAGCGTAAGAAGTTTTGGTCAACTTGCAAGAGTTAGCCAATCAAAGAGTTGGAACACTCCACAAGACTGCCCCCACTTCTAACACAAATTGCAATTCAGTGCCCACCCAAAACTATCCTTAGTTTCAGTAATTCACTAGAACTCACTGAATGATGTTATACTAATAGTTACCCTGTATTACAGGGAAAGTATTCAGATTAAAATCAACCAAGAGAAGTACATAAAATGTAGTAGAGTAGGGATTTCAAATGCAGAGCTTCCATTATCCTTTTCCTGTGGAACCATGAATGCATTACTCTCCTAGCATCACTGTGTAACAATACAGAGAGTATTGCCAATTAGGGAAGCTCCAAGCCTTTGGTGTTGAGTTTTTATTGGGGGTCACTTCATACTGGCCATATGACTGGCCTTTAGTCTCTAGCCCTTCCAAGTTTGGGCTGATATCCTTAGTCTCCAACACTTTCCAGAAGCAAAACTGATAGCACATTGTGCAAAATCTCCATCATAAATCAGTTAGACTGTCTGATGGCCAAAGTCCCCAGGCAAACAAAGGCACTCCTATCACTTCCCAGTAACAGGCCAGACTCTCTTTGAGTAAGGTTAATTCTTTATTACATAAGCTACCTCCTGGCCTTTGGCCAAGACTCTTAAGGCAAAATGATCATTTTTGCCTAGCTGAGCATCTGTATTTACTATAGCATTTATGTTATAGACACAACAGCAGTATCAGTGTGAATATGCCTAAGATTTAGAGAAGCCTGTGTAGAATAGGGATAGAGTTAGAGAAACAGCTAATCCATCCACTAAAGCCATTATACACATCTTCATATTTTTGTACAAATTTTCCACCTGGATCTGATATTTATATGTACCCTGTAATACATTCACAGAGAACTATTTATCATAGAAATTAGCTCTTTTGTACAGGCAAATCATATTCCATTGACATTACATTTTGAGGATGATTTAACACAATTTCCCAATACATATGACCATCAATATCAGTATTATAATCTTACTAACAATGCCAGTATTATAACATATAACAGTATAGTGGTAGATATAACTTGAAAAATAAGAGTCAGAAGATACTGGCACATTACTGGAGTCCAACACAGACATTAACAGTTTACCTAGTCCATCATCATATTATATGACCAAAATGCCTCCTACAGTGATGCTACTCAGGTTTACAGGCTTGTCAGGTTCCAGAAACAGTAGTAGGAGTAACATATGGCTTTACCCTTTCTGGCATGTTACAACTGAGCTAAGAAACGTCCTCTCTTGTTCTAGGCTTCTTTTGAGACCCCAATATAATATTGGATTTCCTTCATTGCATAACTCCTTCATTCCTTTACTTCAGCTACCATTCCTCCTTCTCTCCATTTATACCCAGACTTTTCCTTTGAAAACTTTTGAATGAGACCATTGGTTTGGCCACTTTAGTGGCTCAGATTGTCATCAGTAATACCAGTTTAGCAAGTGCCTCGAACTCTGTCCATCTCCATTCATATAAGGTATGGTTACATAGATGCAGAACTAGTAGGCAGTCTTGAATACTAGGTAACATACTGCATTCACTGTCAATTCCAATTTGACCAGATGGAGTAAAGCACAGTCTACCCAACTAGGCCCTTAGGAACTCAAACATACAGATTTAAAGGTATAGTTACAGTTTATGATTAGGAATTATCCCTACTCCAGGACCCACAGTTGCAGCCCCAGTCCTAGGATCAGTGCATCAGGTAGGAAAAAAAAAAAGTTGAGGTCATGTGGGGAAAAAAGTGTAGTCATAAAGAAAAAAGAATCGTTGTACCTGCGTCCTCTCCCATCCCCCTCTTTCCCAGAAAAATAGAGTAATTTATTTAGAGGGAACCCTCCCTTGGCCTTCCTCATATTGAGCGTGATCACACTCTAAGGAAGGCATGTAAGCCAGATCTTCATGCCTTTATCTCCTCCCAATTTGGACAACAGAAGTTTCATTTGTCCATTCCAATTTTCTATCAAATCACTGCTCTAAAGATAAAAGTGTATTCCTTAGTCTAAAGAAATGTGACTCCATGGTCATTGATTCAGTATCTTCTATTCTGGTCCTTTCATAGTACACTGAGCATTGGCATCTACACTGGGTAAGCAAAGCCCTCTCCAGAGTAAGTGTCTATTCCTGTTGGTACCCATTTGTAATATCGAAGGGCTACTGGCATCAGTCCAACTTGGCAGCTGTTGTAAGACCTTCCCCCTTGGAGAATCTGCTGCATATCCCTCTGCTGTCTCTGTCTCTTTGTTAGCAGACAGAACAGTTCTTGGCATTTCGTGCCTCAGAGGATGCAAGAGGAGAATCTAGATTCTCTGCCTTGCTACAGCACCCCCAGTGGCCACTCATCTCAGGGGCCCAGGTGGCCATATAAGCAAGCACACCAGAATATCTGCTCACTAGTTCCAGTCAATATTTAGTTCTGCAAGGATGTTCTTCGGATGGGCATTAACATATCCTACTTTAATATACCCCTACATTTGTGAGTAATTTCCATAAATCCATGTCCCATACAAGCATCCCTTTAATAGACCAGTATTCTATTGCCTTTCTCCCTGACCACATGGCCAGGCCACTAGACACTTCCCAAGAGTCAGTAAAAACTCTAACATAAGGACAAACATCATACAGTTCAGCCCATCGAGCTGATTTGTTTTTACCTTCTTCAATCAGAGTGGCGGCCTTCCAAACAGGATGCTGTCCCTTCACCTTGGAATTGCCATCCATAAACCAAGCAGCTCTTTGTTGATCAATAGAAAGCTGTTTATAGGGCACCGCCCAAGTGGCCCAAGTGGCCATAGGATCCAGCAGCTCCTCAGGTGGTACCGAAGTCGGCCCTAGGTGAAAAGAGGCTACCTGCTCGTGAGTACCTACTTGCATTCTCCTGGTAGCATGATCCTATATGCACCATTTCCATTTTATTATGGAACTCCCCTGGATATTGCCTCTCCCTTTAGAGCATTTGACATTACCCAAGACATTACAGATATTTCAGGTTTCAAGATTATTTTATGTCCTTCAGTCTTAAGTGTAGTCTTAATTCAAGTCCAATAGCAAGCTAGCAATTGTCTCTCAAATGGAAATTTTCTGGTCCAAAATCCCAGCAGTTGATACGGGGTGGCACTCACAGATTTTTGCCATAAGCCCCAGTCTGTACTCCACACAGAGGTATTCTACAAAAAAATTAATGACATGTGTGGGTTTATGCAATCTTATTGGCTCCCAGTTAGCATTTCCAATCCATATTTGGTGGAAGAGTGGATTTATATGCCTTCTATTTTACAATACTAGGCAGGAGAGTTCTGTCAAACACAATGTCCATCTCCCTAATACATTTAGATAAAGGAAACTTACCACTTCACATAAAGTTCACTGTCCAGACATTCTAATTTTCACTCCAACTTTCACATTAATCCCATCAACTGCTGGATTCCTGTATCCTCCCAGTCTTAAGTATACCTCCCATTAGGACTTACAGGTTCTTAGAATCACAGTATATGGTGATCTGTCAAGGAATCCCAGAAAAGTCTCTTCTCCATTCCCTGACCATTCATGTGCATATGGCCTTGAATTTTTAGGCCTGGGTTAGGCCAAGGGGTTCAGACCCTTTCACCAGTACTTATCTTGGTTAGATTATGGGACTTTCACTTAAGGTTATTCAAGGTGAGGTTTCTTATAGCCATCTTTGCCTTCTAGCTTTTAAATTCCTGACTAGGGTAAATAAAGATTCGTTTAGGACCCTTCAGTGTTGGGAAGCCACCAGGGGCTCCCATCTGTCCATTCAACCCACAACAATGCTACAGACAAGGCTGTTGTTTTGCCCCCATCAGTGCTAACTTCATTCATCCATTTCTTTTTTTTTTTATTGAAGTATAGTTGATACACAATGTTATGTTGGTTTCAAGTATACAGTGCAGTGGTTCAACAGTCACCCATATTCTTAAATCCTTACCCAAACTAATGCATTTACTATCTGTCTACATGGGAAGATGCTACAGAATCACTGGCTATATTCTCCATGCTGTACTACCATCCCTATGACCAACTTATATTATAATTGAGAAAATTGTGCTCCTTTATACCCCTTTCCCTTTGCACCCACCTGCCCCAACTTCTCCTCCATGATAACTGCCAGTCACTTCTCAGTGTCTCTGAGTCTACAGCTATTTTGTTCATTTTGTTCTGCTTTGTTTTTAAATTCCACAAATAAGTGAAATCATGCAGTATTTGTCTTTCTCCACCTAGTTTATTTCACTTAACATAATACTCTCTAGGTCCATCCATGTTGTTGCAAATGGCAGGATTTCTTTTCCTTTTCATGGCTGAATAGTATGTCCCACATAAATTTTATCCGATCATCTATTGATGGGCACTTTGGTTGCTTTCATATCTTGACTATTGTAAATAATGCAGCAGTAAACATATAGGTTTGTATATCTTTTCAAATCATGGATTTTATTTTCTTCAGGTAAATTCCTAGAAATGGAATTAGTGGGTTGCATGGTATTTCTGTTTTTAGTTTTTTGAGGAATACCCATATTGCTTTCTGTAGTGGCTGCACCAATTTACTTTCCTACCAGTAGTGTAAGAGGGCTCCCTTTTCTCCACATTCTCACCAACACTTGTCATTTCATCTTTTGGATAGTGGCCATTCTGATTGGTGTGAGGTGATATCTTACTGTGCTTTTGATTTGCATCTCCCTGAATAGCAATGTGGAGCATCTTTTCAGGTGTCTGTCAGCCATCTGTTTTTCTTCTTTGGAAGAATGTCTGTTCAGGTCTTCTGCCCACTTTTGAATTGAGTTATTTGTTTTCTTGGTGTTGAGTGTATGAATTCTTTGTATATTTTGGATGTTAACCCTTACTGGATAAATCATTTGTGAATATGTTCTCCCATACTACAAGTTGCCTTTTTGTTGTTGATGGTATCATTTGCTATAAGGAAGCTTTTTAGTTTGATGTAGTCCCACTTGTTAATTTTTGCTTTTGTGTCCCTTGCCTGAGGAGACGTGTCCAGTTAAAACATTGTTCATGCTAATGTTCAAGAGATTTTTACGTATGTGTTCTTCTAGGAGTTTTATGGTTCCATGTCTTACATTTAATCTTTAATCCATTTTGAGTTTACTTTTGTGTATGGAGTTAGGTAGTAATCCATTTTCATTCTCTTGCATGCAGCTGTCCAGTTTTCCCAATACCAGTTATTGCAGAGACTGTCTTTTCCCCATTGCATATTCATGGCTCCTTTATCATATATTAATTGACATATATGCATGTGTTTCTACCTGGACTCTCCATTCTGTTCCATTGATCTATGGATCTGTTCTTGTGCCAGTACCATATTGTTTTGACTACTGTAGCTTTGTGGTTTAACTTGAAGTCAGAAAGTGTAATACGCCTTGCTTTGTTCATCCTTCTTAGGATTTCTTGGGCTATTCTGGGTCTTTTGTGGTTCCATATGAATTTTAGAATTATTTGCTCTAGTTCATTGAAAAATGGCATTGGTATTTTGATAGGGATTACCTTGAATCTCTAAATTGCTTTGAGCAGGATGGCCATTTTCAGTCCATTTCTTAATAACAATGTAAATATTTTTACCATGCTAGAACAAGAACCTTGAATCTCTCATTTCTCCCCATTGTCTTATGAATCAGTTTAACTTTATTCACTGTTTATTGCTTTAACGTATCTTTTTTCCTTTGGAAGCAGCTCTGAGGCTAGCAGCTGTACAGCCAGAATCCAAGCTTACTGAACCTCAGGATCCACCCCAACATTCTCCCTTACTTTTGTTTTAGTTAGCCAAATGACAATATCTCAGGGATTGTATGTTTACCTTGTTTCTTGTTATTTTGCATTCTTTATGCATCCAATTTCACAACTCCTTAGGAGTTGGATCATTCATTTCGAAGTTCATTGCTAGCTTTTATCTCTCCACTAATCTCAGCACATATCGTGGGTGACCCTGTGTTCATCTAGGCCCTGAAAATTTGTCATCATAACCCTCTCTTGCATCCTCTTCCCAGATCAAATATTTCAGTGAGTCAAGATTCTTCTAGCAAATCTCAATTCTAACACCAACTCTAAAGAGTTTTATCTGACTGCAAAAGTTAGCCAACCACAAAGTTGGAGCACTCCACAACACTGCCTTCATTTTTTATACCAATTTGCAATTTAAGGGTTTTCTAAAGCCAACTCTCAGTAATTTACTAGAAAGATTCGTAGAACTCACTGAAAGCTGTTATACCCAGTTATGATATGTGATAATGACATACTACAGGGAAAGAATACAGATTGGAATCAGCCAAGGGAGGAAGCACATAGAGCACAGTCTAAGAGAGTTACCAAGCAAGGAACATTCTCTCCCATGGAGTCATGGACAGCATACCTATTCCTAGCCATAATATGAAATAATACACACAGAGTATTGCTAACTAGGCACACTCACTTTTGCCTCTGGTGTCCAGAGTTTTTATTGGGATGACTGATCTCTTCCCAGCAGGGAGACTAATGCATTTGGTCTCCAGTTCCTTCCAGAGACAAAACTGATGCCATGTTTCCCAAAGTCTTCATAATAAACCACCTTGTTGGACTTTCCAGTGTCCAGAGCGCCAGTACAAACACTCCTATCAGGCATACTCTTACATGGAGCCTAGAGATCATTTCCCAAAAGCTGAGAGTAAAGGCCAGACCTCTATTTGGTCAGGGTTAAATTCTTTACTATATAATCTTTATTAATAAAGTGATTAAGCCATAGAAAGAGAGGTCAAAAGATTAGGCACCCTTCCAGTTATTCCAGTAACTCTGCATAAACTTTAAGATATTTCTTTATAGCTTACATTCTAAGGTAAGTTTCTCATAATGTAAAAGAGAAAGACCTCTGCGCAGACATTTTCCCCAAACATATCTGACCCTAGCTTCTGATTTTAAAGTTCCACGTATTCTTTTTTGGTATTATATATTATATTATAGGTATTATTGAACACCTGCACAGGAGACTACATTGACTTTTATACAATGCTTTGTACAAATTTCTATCTGTTTTTGCATATCTTACAACGTTGCCTACCTATACTTTATAATGGTAGTGAGAAATTTTGCTTTCTGAATAAAATAGTTCAGTCCTCAACTGGTTTATTAGTTCTAGTTCTCTGCTCTAACTAGAAAAGTAAAAACTAATCCCTGCCTTTCCCATAATGTATTTTTAGAAGGCAAATTTGTGTAGAAATTTTACTCTAAGAAAAATATACTATGTGCTTCTGTAGTACTGTAGTTCTTTAGCTTACAGAGAATACTAATATATGCCATCCTTACTTCACATTTCACATTGCAAAGACATGGTTTAAATAGGATTCATTCTTAAGACTGATGGGAAATACAGATACAAAATCACATAAATTTGCTACCGTTTTATATGCCTAGAAAACTACTTCATCTTCATTTTTTTTCTTCCTTTTGCATACAGGAATGCTTTCAGTTCATACTGCCAGCTCTACCTCATGCCATTGATCTTTTACGTGATGCCATTGTAAAAGTAAAGGAAGTGCATGACGAACTTGAAGATTTACCTTCTCCACCACCTCCTCTTTCCCCGCCTCCCACAACTAGCCCCCATAAACAGACAGAAGACAAAGGGGTTCAATGTGAGGAAGAGGAAGAAGAAAAGAAAGACAGTGGTGTTGCTTCAACAGAAGACAGTTCTTCATCACATATAACTGCAGCAGCCATTGCTGCCAAGGTAAGCCTGCTGAGAGAGATGCAGAGATCTAAAGGATCCAGAGGGAAGTGTATTGGTTTCACCCCTCTTTCCATCCCATCCTTCTTTCTGTCAGTTTAATACTTGTGCAAAGCATCCTTAAAAAAGAACTGGGATATTTGTAATACTCCACAGCAATGTTCCCTACGTAACATAAGAGTCCTTGAAGGCATTGAAGTTTGTTCTGAATTCTGAGGCATTTGAGTACTGCTCTTACCTGTTAAATTAATAGCTACAGTGATAATGTAACATTTAAATACTCTTTTGAAGATATTTTTATGGTCATATATGTAACGTTCATATATTCAAAACATCAAATATTTACAAGTTATTAAAGGAGCAGCAAACTGAAGGTAGGAGACCTTAGATGATTTAAGCAATTAATTGAGAAAGATTAATAAAGACAAAGCTTTTCAGCAGTTAACTAAGCATTTATTTAAATGCTAATTGACACGATTTACCCTAGTGCTTTAGAGAAGAAATATATATTTGTATTTTTAACTTAATAAAGTAATGAATATTATTAGCACCATATCAAAGTATTAAAAATTCTCTTTGGGCAATTCTTGGAATAAATATAGTACCATGAGGTACTTGAGTAAATGTACTCATCTTTCAGTCACAGAGCATGATTTATATTATTGTCCATATGTGGTATAATCCAGCAAGTATGCTTTAAAATCTTCATAAATTAATACATCATGTCTATGAATAATAATTGTCCATTCATTGACAAGATAAAGAATGAAAATCTAATCACTACGTGAAGTAATTCCTCAAGTTTCATGGATCATCTGAATATTTTGTCTGTGAGCATAGCATGAGAGGGTTTTGACAACATATAAATCAAAAAGGATTATAGAGACCCTTTTAAAGTGTCCATTCAGACAACCAGTTGGTAGTTCTTTCACTGAAGACAGGATGATTCTATCTCCAGACCCGTTCAGCACTCCATTAAGTCCTTACTTAAGGCTAGTAAGTATTCAAGTTATGTGTGAGGTCTACTTTGTTTTTCTGGAACTACTGGTAAAATAGGTACATTTAAAAAATCTTCTTTCTCTTTTACTCTTTAATAAAGTAGAAAGTATTATCAACTTCAATATTAAGAAAAAGCTTATAGTATTTCAAATCTAAGCTGATTTTGTCATTCTACATTTGAAAATGTTTGACATTTCATTGTTCCATTTGTTTCCACCCTTTTTTTCCTTTCCAATCACTTTGCTTGTGTAGAATCATGTTTTCCTGTCACTGTATTCATAGTTTTTATGTGTTGTACATTAGAAGCATCCATTCTACACCAGTCCTGCTGTTATCATGGCACACGGTGAGCAGCCCATCCCTGGTCTCATCAGTTATCCCCATGATGCAACAGGCAGTGCAGATGAACGGGTAAGACAAGGGGTTTTTGCATTAATGGTTTTGCAAGCATACAGTCTACCTCCTATCCTTGGAGGTAGACTGTAACATACTATGGAAGATGTGTTTTATTCTGAAGGATCTTCAGCAGTGCTTTTTTTGTGAAAGTATAAGTGCCACTGAATATATTCTGTCAAGGAATTTAATTTAATAGAGTTTCTCCTGTACCAAAAGTAATATAATATCATTAAGATTCTGTAGTATGTGGCAATGAGTTTTCATCACATGACTTACAAGAAATTCATTGCTTGGAAGTTCTTGTTGTTTTTTTTCTTTAGCAATTTCATCACATACCTTTAATTAAATTACCTATCTTAATTAAGATAATCCCTTAAAAAGTTGTCTTGAAGTCTTAAAATCTAAACAGATTGATCAGGCTAATATTTAATTTGTATTAACTGCTTTTTTTCCTCATGATTTTGCATCTTATTTTCTTTTCCTTCACTGTGTTCTCATTATAACCATTTAGAGAGTTGAGTCTTGAAAACAAATTCTGAGACTACTATATTCAGAAAGAAACTTGTAAAGATGCATATCACTTCTTTCAGTTTCTGGCTGAGCGCGAGTTTGAAAAAAATACCAGGCTAGAAAAGATTAAACTGATAAGTATAACTGACTTAAGCTGTAATAATTTCAACCATGGTACAAAAAAATCCATCTCAATCCCTAATATGGATATAAGATGAGAGGAAATAAGGAAGAAATAGTAGTAATAAAATGAAAGTTGGCTTTAAATACTTAGGGGAAAAAAACACCCAGAATTTCAGGGGGGAAGTGGAGGGTGGGGACTAATAACATCAGTCATCTCTTGGAAGATAATACTACCAAATGAAAACTTTAACCTTATATTCAACAAGCCATGCCTGGTTAGAAATAACCTTGGATTAGTCAAAGGCCAAGCAGAAAATTCTAAATTGATAAGTAAAATTATTAAAGAATTTCAGTTGACAACTGCTATGTGGATTCTTCAGATAGAGCTTTGTTATGATTTATAAACATTCCAAAATGTACCCAAACTTGAAGCAGGACTATCTTTTGTATTTTCATCTTATAAAGCAACTACAACAACTATAATAATCATCCTGTTTCCAAACTAAAGTATTTAGAAGTTTTGTATTCAAACCCAAGCCTTTAAGTTATCATAGTCTAAATTTCATATTATTACACCAAAAATTATCTGACTGCCTCTTTTCTTCAGTTCTCCCAAGGATTGCACCTAACTGGTCCATGCTAGATGTGTAGGAGAAAAGTTATTATATACAGTGGATTCCTTAAATTATTAGAGCTTAATTCTCTGGAGGACCTAGTTGAGCATAGCTGCTTAAGTGCTATATCTGGACATCCTGATAAGGCACCACCCAGAAATTTCTCCTTTATTAACTTACATTTAATAATCCTTTGTAAGTAGTACTTATGGTCTTTTTGACAGATGCTTGGTTTTGCAAGTAGACTCGTGCTTTTGCACTTTTTTTGACAAATGATAATCAGAGCTATATATCAAAGAGTGTGATGTTCTTGTTCTTAAGAACTAGCATCCATAGAGAAGAATGAAAAAGAAGAAACAGGTAACAGAAAAAAATGTAAAGGAAGTCCTTTACTATTCTTAGTGCTCCTAAAAAAACTATGTTAACTGTGAATGCTGACCTGACACTAACTTTATTAATGAGTCTCATTGGTTCTGAATGTCCTGCTTGTTGTCAGTGTTTCAGATCTCTACATAACAGTCATTTGGATTATCTCTATGAACTGTTTGGCTAGTTTTTGTAAGCCCTACCAATGTGAAATTTAAAAATTAATTTTGAAAAGGAGGGTCTGATTATTTATTGAAAAGATAAAAAATCACAATTTCCTCAGCTAGTTACATTCTGAGGCAAGTGAGGCATTGTTGAATAATGTAAAAATTGTGCAACTTAAAATCAGAAGACCTGGATATAATCCCTGACTTTTACCACCTTAAATATTTGGGACAAATTACACAAGATTGAAGATTCAGTTTCTCATCTACAAGATGGAAGTAGTAATAACTGCCCTGTGTGTTACAAGAGGTTTTTATTTGTATCAAGTAAGATAATATGTATGGGGGGGAAATTACAAACTTTGTAAACTTAGAGTCTAATATTTACAGAATTCTTTCTAGATGCCAAACACTGATTGGTGCTCAGAATACAAATATAAATAGATTATTCTATCCCATAAAGAATTAACAGTCTAACTGGAGAGTTCTTTTTATTACAACTTTACTTCCTTAACTCAGTTACCTCCTGTTTTGATCAAGAAAGTGAAACCTGATTGATGTACTGACTCTTCAATAGTTAATTACTAGCATTCTAATTACTCGCTATAGTCAAACTGTTCAATTTGCTTTTTTAGGAAATAGAGAGGCTTCAGGAATGCCTCTTGTAATGGATATTTGTTAGGTGCCTCTCCAGTAGCCATTTCCCATTCCCTCTTCTTAACACTACACCACATTTCCCTCGTATACTTTGGTTGAGATTGACTAAACTTCCAAGGTAGATTGTCTTAATATAATCAGCTTACCCATTTCGTGTAACCATAGTTTTTAGTTCAAGAAGCATATAATTCATGCCAGTCAGAGCAAATGGGTCTCATCACTTAGATGTGAACCACTGGGGTTACAGACTCTGTTTCCTGCTGGATATGAATAATGAAATATACAACCCCAAGAATTGCCATCTTGGAACCATAAAAGGAATGCCTGCCAAAAATGAAACCACAATAATGAAGCAGTCCTGAGAAATGGAAAAGAAAGAGAGATATTGGGTCCTGGTCACATTATTTGAACCATTCACTCAAGCCCCTGTTGAACTGTACTTACCTTTTGACTTTTCAGTTACATAAGTGAACAAAGTAGCTTTCTTTAAAAAGAAAAAGCTAATTAGAGATAGAGATGGTTGTTGTCTGCAACCAAAAAGCATCTTAACTAATATACATCATTATACTCTCTCATCACAGAGATGAAAAGTGTTCCTTATAATGACTGAAATATAACAAATAGAAATACTTGAAGTTTCATATTTGAAATGAGAAACCTAATTCAACAGGATAAAGAGTAGAGGAGTGTGACGCAAAGGAAGAAAAGAAGGCAAAATAAATATTGTCCCTCTGTGGTTACTAAGTGTGAAGTTCTTTTTAGGGAGACTGGATCCAAATCTGAAGAAATTAAAACTTAGCCTTGCAGCCACAAAGCAACTGATAGGTTCAAATATCAAAGTCATAGTGACAGACAAGGAGAGATATGAGACAGAGAAGATACCCATGAAGATACATAATAGGAAATCTTGTCTCACTGACAGAAATAAAATCTAGAGAAGTCCCACACAATATCCAAGATCCATTAGACATAAAAAAAAAAAGTGCTTTCCGTGGGAAGAAAAAGTTGCTGATTTCCTTTTGATAAAGGGTATGGAGAAAACAATATGTTGAATTCACATGCCAGTCAGGAAGAACCTGTCTTCCTGGAACATTTATTTGGAACATGAGAGAAAATGCTAGGAGTTAGCAACTTGCCACTGCTATAGATCTGCCTAGAAATAAAAGACACCATTACAAAAGTCCAGAGGAGGAGGGGGGATAAAAGATGGCAGAGTAGGAAGGTATAGCACACTAAGGAAGCAAGTACAGCAAGAACAGTTAACCCTGAAAATGATCTGAAGACTGCACAACAGACCATCTACACCTGGTAAAGAAGAGAGAACCACACAGAGAAAAGTGGGAAAGCTATGCTCAAACACAACCCAAGCGCTCTGCCATCCCAGCCCACAAGCAGAAGGGAGAGGAAAGTACACAGGGGTTAAGCACTCAGGAACTCTGCACATCTGGCCCTGGAGATCTGCTCTGGGAACATGAGTTCACATTGTATTGGGCTTTGGTAATTATGGAGTTGGACACTAGGGAGAGTTGGAGCACTCTGGGAAGCTGAGACTCCTGCTGATTATGGAGGCCAAGCACATTCTGGCAGTCTCACTGAGATCCAACATGGAGACAACAGTTTGAAAGATTTACCAGCAGCAAGAAAGGTCCAGAGGAGCAAGGGTTGGACGGTTATCTTCACAGGAGAAAGGGCAGGTAGCAGATCAGGTGCTCACGAGAGCCCCAAATGCTCCATCCCCCTAACTGGTGGCTCAGCCCTGAGGTGCTTCCCTGCACAGCCAGTACCCATTCACCCCACTAGCTGCTCGCCCTAGCAGCTTCAGACATTGCTGCCTGGCAGTCCGAGGGAGATGTTCCCAGCTTTCTCAACACTTTTTCAATCCAACACGGGAGGTGCCTACAGGAGTCAGCTCCAAACATTTCTTCATCCTCAGTTGAGGGCCAAGCCCCAGCCATGCTCCCCTGTGCACCTGCCCCACACACCCCTTCAGCCCAGCAGCTCTGCAATCACTTTCAAGGCAGGCAGAGGGCAGCTCTGACCACAATGATGACAGCAGAAGCACTGCTGCTTGGCTCACAAACGGCCAGCTGAAGTGAACTCCCATCCATGACAGACTGAGATAGGCTATTGCCCACAAACAGACAGAAATATGACCCCACCCAAGCCCACCAACAGCAACTGGGGCTTCAACACAAAGGAGAACCAGGCACTGGTGGATTAAGAGTCTTGAGCTTCTGGCACCACAGGATGCCTTCTTTATATAGTCATTACTCTCTAGAATAGGAAGCATAGCAGATCCATCTAAAATAAAGAAGAAACACTGACAAAATGAGGAGGCAGAGGAATATGTTTTAAACAAAACTACCATATAAGACACCAGAAAGGTCTAAAGGAAACAGAGATCACCAGTCATCTTGGTAAAGATTTCAAAGTGACAGTCATAAATATGCTCACTGATCTGCAGAAAAGTATTGATCTCAGGGAGGACTTCAACAAAGAGATACAGGAGCTGAAAAAAGAGCCACTCACAGCTGAAAAATACAGTAACTGAAATGAAATATACAATGAAGGGAATGAATAA